TTTTCTATTTCTTTTTATCTTTTTTCCCTATACCTTTGCCTTTTCTTTTCCCCCCCCTTCTTTATATTAGTTCTTGATAGTTTTTATATTCTCTTTAAAGCTTTTAATAAAATGTATATTAAAAACAATTGTGTGTTTGTGTGCACATATCTATGTCCATATGTACCTCTGTCTATCTAGAGAAAACATTCCCACACATACAGACACAACATACACCCTCCTTTATTTACACTCCTTGCTAGTTGTTCTTCTCCATTCCCAAGCACCCCTGAAGCCCTCTTTTTTGAGGCTTCTCTTCTGTAATGAGAAGAATTGCATGGCCATATCTATCATCCTTTTCGTGCATGTAGGCAAACCACTTCTGAAACCTTGCGAAGAAAACTGCAGGAACATGTCCAGGCTGTCACCAGGACTCAACACTGACTTGAGGGCACCGAAAAAATAAATAAATAAAAAGTCTCTGGACTTATCTCTGGACCCTCCCCGGGCCAGTATGGATCTGAGATTGGCGCTGCACTTTCATGCTCTCACAGTGCCATGGAGCTTCTAGGAGCTTGACATACTGCATCTATAACTCAACATTAATCAGCTCCTGCCCTGAGACAATTCTACAATACAATTGCGCAGTATCTCTATTGAGCTGAGGGTGGACAGTGCCTCCACTGATGGGAAGAAACAACGATGTCCTTGAGTTTCATCTCCCATCCTGAAGTAACAGTACCAGCATGCTTTACCACCATTACCCCAGCATTTTCTGACTGTTTGGAGAGATGGCTTTCTGCACCTCTGCACACTGGCCTCTGTACGTGGCTTGTGAAAAGCTCACGTGGCAAGGAAGGGGATGGGTTCTGGTTGGCTGCTGTTTTTGGCTTTCTGCCATTGTCCAGCTGAGGGAGAGCTGGCCAGTTGGCTGGGGAAGGAAGACAATTGGGAGCACATTACTGTTGACAGTTTTGAAGGTGAAGCTGGTAGCTGTATGAAAGAGGCCTATTCTCCCTGTAACTTTACAGGAACATAGTTCTGGAATACACTGTTTCAAATTTATATTCAGGTAGAGACACAAGGTGGGGGAAAATGCTGCTGGCAAAATTGGAAGCCTTGTCTAGCCTCCTTTGTCTATGCCTTTGAAAAACGTGCAGGCAGTTAATCTCGGATACACTAATTTACAGCCCCAATCGTCTGGTGTTGACTTAGAAGTAAGTCAAATTGAGTTACATGAGACATATTGTCAAGGAAGATTGTAGCCTTAAAATGGAAAGTGGAGTTTCACTGCGGGACAAAATAGTAATTTTTTACTAGAAAAAAAATCCTCCCTTTTCTTTTTTTCAGGACTGCCCTGCAGACTCTGGTGATTTCCGGGCCCAGCAGTGTTCAGCCTACAACGATGTCAAATACCAAGGCCATTTTTATGAATGGATCCCTGTCTTTGAAGACTCCGGCTCTCCGTGTGCCTTGAAGTGCCAAGCTTTGGGGAAACCTTTGATAGTTGAGCTTGCTCCCAAAGTTCTGGATGGTACCCGTTGTAATCCCAAATCCTTGGATATGTGCATCAGTGGAATATGTCAGGTACGGCAGCTTTTGCAAGTTGGTTTCCTGGGGTGTCTGTAGAGGTCGTTAACAAAAATTAAGCCATGACAAATAAAAAAGGGATTAAATCAAACAGGTGAAGTCCCAATCTTGACTTTTTGGAAACCCCCCCCCCCCCCATGCAGATGCCCCATCATTCCTATATTTTTCCCCTCGTGGATCGGGTAACCTTACATAGTTTGCAGAAGAAGCAGTAATTGGCTGACTTCTAGGAATATACAGAAAACCTTAAATTGGGAAGTGGTTGTCCCAAAAAGGTCAGAACTGTTTCGTGCTTGAGCCAGTTTTGTGTCAAGCTCAAAAGCGGTCCATATATAATTTTGATTAAAGATTTTGATTACAATAGTAAAAACTAATACAAACTAAACTTTAAAAAGAGAATAGAAAGAAAGAAGAAAAACTGTAAGAAGAAAAAGAAAAAGAAGAGAAAAAAGAACATCATAAAGAAAAAGAAAAGAAATATATAAAAAAGTGATTTCTAACCTTCATCACAAGACAAATTTAGTAACTCTTCACCCCCTATAAGGTTACAAACAGATATCTCTTCATCCCAT